TAATTTCTATTTATTGGTTTTCAAAAACTGAAAGGTTGTGGAAGTTCAAAAGGAATGAAAACCAACTTTAACCAATATGTTTTAATTTCTATTTCTGCCCCTCATAGAAATAGAAATTATACAATTAGTATCTACACATTAGGTCCATAACACATATACCCTTAAGCCTATTAACTAAATTGAATCACTTAAGTTGTAGACTTCTTATAAATGATAACACCACATTTAATTATGTGGTTCCATTGAGACATTATCTAACATGCACCTCTCGTTCACCGCCGCAGCCGACTGCATGACTGCGGCCACCCCACCCTTCTGTGTGTTTCCGAGCGCCATCTTCTCCGCCGCCTGCATGGTCGCCGCATCTTGCAGCGCTATGGGTTTCAAAGCTAACTCCCCGGACACATTGAACAAATCCCCGTATTTGATTGCTTCTTCTTGCTTCGATCTTCGTCCCTATTTTTGACTCATTTTTGGGCTTTGATTTTGACACAAACAAAAGTTTAATGAAAGAGAATAGGGTAAATTGTTTTAAGAATTGTTTTATATTTGAGTAAGGTTAGAAATTTTTAAAAAATTTATTAAATTTTTTATCAAATATTTTATATAGATGTGAGATTCATATAGAATTTATATAGTGTGAGTTTCATACTCATATAAAATATTTTTTTGAAATTTTAATAAATTTTTTATCATTTTCTACATTATTATTTATATTTATATTTATGTGGAGATGAAAGTGTGTGTTTCACCGGTGGGGATATCAGACGGTGGTGCTAACTCTGACAGTGGGGTGTTATGGAGTTACAGGTGTGGGATGGAGAAGGAGACACTTGGATTAGATGTGTTACAGGTGGAAGTTTAGTGAGCAAGGACCTTCTAGACTGATTTTTTTTTCTAAAGTTTCTTAGAATGCTACACTGTGTGGTTGAGATTTACTGGCAAGTCACATCAATTTTTCTGATGTGACTTGTCAATAAATCTCAACCACACAATTTAATACTTTAAGAAATTTTAAAAAAATTTCGCTCTAGAGAAGTTTAGTAGCTTTGCTGGGATCTGTCATTTCTGTTCTTCTCTTTTTCCATATTCCGAGGGCACCAATATGTGACGAGTCCGGGTGGAAAAACTCTACACGTATCTATATTCCATCGCTAATATTATTATTCATTATGTTAACACAAAATTATAATATTTTATTTTTTTAATTAATTAAAGTATTATAGAATACGGTGTATCTCGGCTACTCAATAATCACTCGTGTGTGTGATATATGATGTGTTCTTCCCATTCTTCATCACTTGGCATTGCGTTGTTTCGAATAAGATTTATTTATTTTTATAAGTAGTGTTATAATATTGAAAAACGATACATACAGTGAATTTGAACTTCTTTAAATTTTATAAGTTGACAATTGATATAACTCTTGACAATTGTGATTGTGTCACTCTTATTTTTTGAATGATCAGTATACACAAATTTAAACGATTTAAACAAGTCAAAATTCAAGAAATATAGCATTGCTCAATAATATTACACATTCTATCTCTTTGATTGAATCACATTTATTTAAAAATTAATTATCGATAATATCCATTATCATCTATTAGTTTTAAGGCTTCTTTTGAGAGAGTTTATAAATCAGCTTATTTACTTTTTAACTTCTTTAGGTTACATTATCTCTTTATTTTTTACATATTTTTTCATAATAAACAAACAAAAATAAGAAAAACAACTTACTTTTCAAAACAACCCTAAATAATTTGTTACATATTTAGTATTTTGATTTTGTTTAGTAAAAAATAATCAATCAGTAGTTTCAAATGATTCATTAAATCAAATCAATCATCCACTAGTTTTAATTATCATTAAACTATAGTTGGCACCTTTTTTTTTGGGCTTTTTATTTTTATAAACCAGTACAATGGCTAACATTTTTTAGAGGCCCTTTTATTAACCAATTTTGAAATACAACATCGCTACGGAACTCGAAAAATTAATGGCTCGAATGGTTCGAAGTCTCAAAACGACGTCGTTTTAAAAAAAAAATTTATTCTCTTACCGGTAAGATAATATTTTCCATATCATTCGAGTCATTCGAGCCTCAATTTTTCGGGTTACGGAGCATTTTTGTTTGAAATATATTAGATATTTTTAGCACTTCAGGTCATTGAATACTATTATCAAGGGAGATTTGTAATAATTTTGCATAACATTGGAATATAATTATTAAGACAAATACAAAAATAATTGTTCAATACTTTATTTACTTTTTAGAACATATATATATATATATATAGTGAGATTGAAATAGTATATCACACTTTCACAAAATTTATCCCAGATCCATAAAAAATAAGAATAACTAAGAAAAGATAATGATATTAAAATCAGATTTCAACAATTAAACTAAAAAATAAGTTGCATGAAACACTTTTTTCAGTGTGAAATAGAAAAACAAGTGACTTTTTTAGTCAAAAAGTCAAAAAATTACTAAAAAAATTAAAAAATCAACAACTTACACCAAAAAATTAAAGATTCTCTTTTCTCTCTACTTTTTATATATCTTTTCGTAAAAAGTTAAAAAATCATTTCAAACATACTAATTTTTTTAACACCATATTTTAGTTAAAAAGACAAAAATTACTAAAAAATATGTTGCCAAACGAGACCTAAATCTAACAAGTTTTGAGAAGAATATATGTGGTTTACCCAACTTGAAAGAAAGGTTGAAGAGAGCAGTCCAACTTTAATAGGGGGCTTTAATATAAAAATAAAAAATGGGGGACACTTTCCTAGCTCTTTCCTAACTCTGCAAAAGGCCTCTTCCCAAATTTGATCGTCGTGTTAACCAGGATAAGTCACCACCAGTGTGCCCACTTCTTTCATGGCATCATCCAGTTTTGAAAAAGATAACAACTGAGAATAAAGAAAACAAAAGCAGATTGTACCTATATTTGTTTTGATCCATCACAATCCTTCCTAAACAAAGAAAAATGAATATTAAAGACAATGACAAACAATTTGAGAAATGAATAATGGAAAAATTCAAGACCAAATAGTATTTGACATATACATTTCCAATATTAATAGTACAACGTTTTCTTGAGATTGACCCAACAAACTAACAAGCAACCAACCAACCATTCCACAAAAATGATTATAAAAGAAAGGATAATATTTCAGCTATACTTTATATCCTAATCCATGCAAATTCTATTTACAATGAAGCTAATGTGAATGAGATATAAAATTAAAAAATAAAAAATAAAAAATAAAATGAAGTTCGAGTGAAGAAAGATTAGTTTAACTTTCGATCTTGGTGCCTATAAATAGAAAAAACCTCAACATCCCTGTGACACAAGCAATATGGGCTTTGAGTCACGCAATTGTCGCGAGTAAGGGCAAGATTACATTCAGACAATTCCTAGCTAGACAATCCATTAAGCTGCAAGGAGATGAGATATGCCACTGATTGAAGGCTTAAAGGAAGTTTGGTAGACCACGACACATCAAGTAGTTAATTTTTAAGTATTGGAGTAAGAAACAGTTAATTTTAAGTATTGGAGTAAGAAACGGCTTGTTTAAGATCGATGGTGCTTCCAAAGATAATGTAGGAACAGGTAAAGTAGAATGGAAAAGGTTATCCTATTCTAGCTAGCTCTAATATTTTCATTGAACCATCAATGAGAAATTTCAATCACCTCCATGAATTATGGAACCAGGTTAATTCACTTCAAATGTCATTGACAAACTGGCCTGGAACATTAAGCCAGACAATATCACCTAGACACCTGGTAAATAAGCAAGACATTAACAAATTGTAAATGGGTACAGATTACAAATGATAAGCCTTTTAGTTCTCTTTCACATACACATCCAATCATCGATCCACAGGCTGCTCAGTCATTTTGTGGAAGGAAAATTATTCAATAATTCTGGAACACTACGTGACAATACTCCAAATCAATCACTAATTACTTAATCTCATGTTGTTCTTCCATCCCCAACATAAATCGTGAATCCCTACCCCCATCTCTACCAATCAAAACCTTATAGAACACAACGTGTTCATATTCCGAAAATACTGAATAATCACCCACTTTGTGCAAACAGGAAGAAATACGCCTCTCCAATAAGTGGGTACCCAAACAAAGGAGAAACCCTCATCTTCAATACATAAATGTATTAGTGGTCAATACCCATCTAATAGTGACGGAGAACACAGTGGTGTTTTGTGCATTGCAGTTTGTTTCTCAAATCCTGTTCTCTCTTTCGTTGCACAATCCTTCCCTTATCTTCGTCAAGTTTCACAAAAACTTAAGCAAATCTCTAAAAAATCTACTCTAAAATGAAACATCATACAGGACAGCAAAAAAAAATAAGTCCTGAAAGATATCAATAGGTTCAATAACCTATATTGAGCACAATTTTAAAGCAAAATACTGGTTACTGCACAGCAGTTGCAGATGAAAGCTTGTGGAACCGCTAAGAAGTCGAAGAAAAAAAATAAAGAAAATGATATGTTACGGTAAAAAGCCATCACATAAATTTGGGGCATCGTCACATGTGAAAAACAAAGAGAAAATAAATAATAATAGTATATCAATAATCAACCGTTAAACAGAGGCGGCACATATCCAGAAACCTATAGAGCAAGTGATCTAGTTTATATTCAATCAAAAACACAAATATTTTAATATGCTCTGCTCTCATAACAGCCATTGTTGTTATCCGTATCGTCTGCGCGCCTTCCACAATAAAATCATATCCAAGAAAAATATACTTCAAAGTGAGAAGGCAGGCAATTCCAGTAGGGTAAAAAACATATGGTATATATGCAACTAATTCAACACTCTGATCTTTGTTTTTCTTCTTCCTCTGCCTATGTCATTACATATACACATACACATGTATAAAAACACAAACAAACACAAGAAATTTTAGAACTAAATTCAACAAGATTCAAGCCAACCATCGAAAAAGAATGAGAGAGTCAATTACAATATCTAGAAAAAAGCAATTCTTGATTGAACCATTAAAGCGTTTAGAACACATTCGATCATAAACTTGAAAACGACAATTTAACTTCCAAACAAACAGGAAATTGAAAGCAAGAGAGGTTTTTTTTTTTTTTTTTTTTTTTTTTTTTTTTTTTTATCGAATTACTGTACAAAAACAAGCCGTCCCGCTCCGATACCGCCGTTCCCTCCACCCCAAGCTCCTCCTTCTTCTTCTTCCTCCTCATCATCATCAAAATTCGCATTTTTGGGGACCGTCACGACGAGCTCTCTGCCACTATAGGCCGCGGTAGCCTGCTCCGGCAGCGTCGAAGCCGGAAGACGAAACCGCCACATGTCAAGCTCCAATTCGTCGACAGAAAAGTCAAGAACATTGGCGTTGGTCCCTCGAATCACGATCTTGGTAACCCCGGGGTAGATCTCGATCGTGTGGGCCCTGACTTCATCGGCGATTTGGTCGGTGTTGACGACGAATTGGAAGAAATCGGAGGTCTCTTGGACGAAAACGTCTGCGTCTGAGTGGAAAGGAAGTTCGAGGACTTTGGCGAAGATGTGGGGGAGTCGCCTGAGCTTCTTCTGGAGGCCGGCGTATCGAAGCGTGATGTTACGCTTCCTCGGCACTGGATGAACCTTCATGGTCTCAGAAAACGAAACTGGAAATTACAAATTCGTAATAACTCTAATATGGCAAAGAAGATTGAAATTTGATTGATCAAGAACTGTATCAGAAAAACCCTAGCCCTAATTGCAAGAAAGACACAGTTGTGTGTGTGTGTGTTTGTAAATATTCTTAGCTTTTGAGGGGAGAGGTTTGAGAGAGAGAATCAAAGGTACCGTAGAGCGAGAATGGGAGGAGATGCAGAGGAAAGAAGGTGTGAGTGAAGTTTGTTTCTATCTTGGAGATGGAAATGGAGAGGTTGGGGCGGTTTTATACAAATTACTCACGGTTCGTTTGGGAATGGAGGCCTTATTTAGAACGTTAATTATTTAGGTAAATTACAAATGAGGTTTATTTAAAATATAAATTATTTTTTGTGGTTTAAAAAATTATAAATAGTTTCTTGTCAAAATTTTTTATTTATTAGAATTAATTGAAAAAATAAAATTCTTAACTACTGTCCTATATAATAATAAAATTACTTGAATTATTAGTTGAAATAAAATTTTAACTTCATTAAAAGTTATTAATTAATTTGATGTTTTATTGATAAAATGAATTATTTATTATGAAATTAAAATTTTCAGGGGGGCATGATGCAATTTTTAGAATCACAGAAAGTAATTTGTATTTTGAGCAAACCTCAGGGGGTGTGTTTGTAATTTACTCTAATTATTTTTAGTTGGCAATTTAATTTTTTTGACTAAATTACAAATACACTCCCTGAGGTATGTTTAAAATACAGATTACTTCATGTGGTTTAAAAAATTACAAATATCCCTTATTAGAATTTTTTATTTAACTGAATTAACTAAAAAAATGAAATTCATAATTGCTCTCCTATACAATAATAAAATTACCTAAATTATTAATTGAAACATATTTTTAACATCATTAAAAACTGTTAATTAACTTGATGATTTATTAATATAAGGAGTAATTTGTTATGAAATTAGAAACCTCAGGAGGTGGAATGTAATTTTCAAAATCACAAGCACAATTTGTATTTTAATCAAATCTCAGGAAATGTATTTGTAATTTACCCTTGATTTTTTTTGCCCACTTGAGAACATGTTATTTTAGGGGAAAAAAAATTAGAATAATGTTAGAGACTCCAAAAGTTCTATCAAAATTTTTACCAAATGTCTCACATGAGATGAGACCCATGGCACATGGGTTCCACACCCATGTGAGACATTTAGTAAAACTTTTGGGGTTTCTAACATTTTTAAAAGTGAAATTATTATGAATTAGATATGATATTTTACCTATTTAAATTTTTTTTTTTTTTTAATAGATTGTTTTAGTCCAACATTTTTCCCAAATATCCTCTAATAAGGAAAAAGAAAAGAAATCGGTGGTTGAGAGAGGGTATTTGGGGACTTGGGTTGGGAGGTTTTTTTTGGTTAAAATATTAATAAAGATAAAAATATATTAAAATAATTAATAAGATAAAATGTCACATTTAAATTATAATTATTTTATATTTTTTTTCACAATCATCAAATCAACTATAAAAAAAAAAAAAGTCAACTGTCATTCCCAACATAATATTTTTAGTCAAGCTAAAGAAAAAAGCAAATTGTAATAAACAAAAATATAAAAAGAAATTTTTTGTGTTATTTGGTTATAGTTAATAAAAAATGATGGGAAAATTTTGTAAATTTAAACTCAATCTTTTGATTTGTTTTTAATTCAATTTATTCATCTATTTTTGTCATATAAAATAAAATAATATATATATTACCATTAAATTCAATATTTTATAAATAATGGTTTTGATATTATGAAATGTCATTAGTGTTTTCTTACCCAAGTCAAAAAAGTTGGCTTTTTTAGCCAAAAAAATTAACTTTTTATCCATATCACTATCCAAAAAGCTAACTTTTTTAGCTAAAAACAATCAAAAATCAACTTTTTATTAATTTCTCAGAATACTACATAATTATTTTAGCCTCCGTTTGGGAAGTGGGTTGGCTTTTTGGCTTTTTGACTTTTTTGACTATTTTAGCCTGGGCTAAAATGCTTGGTTTGGGAAGGACTTTTTGGCTTTTTTGACTTTTTTTGTGAGAGAAGAGTGTAATGATTATGGGTTGGATGTGATGCTTTGTTTGTTACGGCTAAAATAGCCTATTTTGTTTTTTGTGGCTAAAATAGCCAAAAAAACCCAACCAACTTCTTCCCAAACGGTGCCTTAATTTAAAATAACAAAATGGTAAATTATATTATGATTGAATTCAAAATTTGAAACCAAAAGTTGAGGGATTTACAAATAAATTAATTAAATATTAATTGCTACAAGGGTACTTTGGAAAAACAAAAACCTTGACACAAGCACCAAGCTGGGCCTTCTCTTTATAATGTATTGTTACTATCTTCTCAAATGATTGTTTGGTTTGTGTTTCTCAAAAAATTTTAAAATTTTTTTTTTATAAATAAGTTTTCAAAAGTATTCAAACTAAATAAATTTTTTCAATTTTTTTTTTCAAAACTTGTTTGGTTTACAAGTTTTCCAAACAAATCTCTATCTCATACACATCAAATCAATCACTTTTTTCAAAACTCTCTCTCAAAATAATTTTTCAAAACATCTTTTGAAAAAAACCGAACCAAACAAATTTTTGTACTTTTTATCTCAAAACATGTTTTTCAAATACAAACCAAACAAGCCCTATTTTTATTTTAATTCTAAAAAAATACATGTGTCGTTCACGTGACCTTGTTTGGTTTGTATTTGAGAAACATGTTTTAAAATAAAAAGTATGAAAATTTATTTGGTTTGGTTTTTTTTCAAAAGATGTTTTGAAAAATTATTTTGAGAGAGAGTTTTGGAAAAAGTGATTGATTTGATGTGTATAAGAGAGAGATTTGTTTGGAAAATTTGTAAACCAAACAAGTTTTGGAAAAAAATTTTAAAAAAATTTGTTTGATTTGATTAATTTTGAAAACTTATTTGTAGAAAAAAATTTTCAAAATTTTTTCCGAAACACAAAACAAACAAGGCCATGTCTTGGTTTTAAATCCCAACATTCTCTTTATATAATTTTATATTTTAAATAAGTTAGATAGATATTATAGATATAGACAAATAAATAGATTTTTTTTTTCATTTAATTCTCATCTCTTTAATAATTCGAACAACTAAAAAAAATCATCCAACAAGACTATTTAGGACCCTACTTGATATGTTCTACCAAATCTATCTTTACGCTGTATTTGATTGAGAGATTTGAGAAAAAATTTGAAAAGAAAAAAAAAGAAAAGGTAATGAAATATGAATAAAATATACTTATATTTCACTTAATTTCACATACATTTTTTATTTGTTTTTCAAATTCCTTTCAAAATCTCTCAACCAAACACATCGTTAGAATATGTACTATTCATCGGTAAGATTTAACAATTATTCTATTACAATTTACGACTGTTGAGTAGTTTCTTTTCGATTTAACTAATTGATACATATAGCATTATTATTTTTAAACTCATCATTTTCATTTATTATTCGTTAAATTGCCTCAAAGTTGAGATTTAAAATGCACTCACCACGATATTGCATTGTTGCAAGTTAAGACAAACACCTCCAAATGCTTTTTGTTTTCAAATTAATTGGGACAAAAGAAGGAATTTTCCTGGATCTTTCCATGTTTTTGTGGTGCAAGGCAAATATGCCAAAAATTGCCTTCAAAGTTCAAAAGCCATTAAAATGAATTGACTTTAAATTGGTTTGAATTTTTTTTAAGTTGTTCATTTAATTTGAGAGAGTGTTTAGATTTGATAAATTTATTTTAGGACGAATCTTAATGTTTCGAATCGTTCATTTTTTAAAATTTATTGAGTAAAATATTTATATAAAAAATCAAGATAATCGGATATCAATAACTATGTATTTTTTTTTAAAGATAGGTTCGGTAACTATATATGTTTTAATCACATTTTTATTTTAAACAATAGACAATATTCAAACATATAACTACTGATATCCAATCACCTTAATTTTTTACATAAATATTTTATTTAATAAAATTTAAAAAGTAAACTGTTCATATCACCAAAATTCATCCTAAAATAGGCCCACCAAATCTAAACGGAAAATGTTTGAGACTCTAAAAAATCTTTCACAATTCAACCTATAATAATATAATTTTGTCAATTTTTAATTGATTACACATAAACGATATGAGACCTTCCCCTTTATCATATCATTATAAATACATTTATAGACATAAAATAAAATATGAGCATCTAATATGGTTGAATACACCCGATGGTGTAAATTGTGGCCCTTTGTTCAGCACGATTCACGCGTTGTGTGTAAAGATTAAAATGATATGCATGTGTTCACCAACCAATATCATTACGCGCTTAATACTGGTAAAACCATTTTTGGCGAATTAAATATTTTTAGGAAATTATAAAATAAAAATAAAAAACTTGAGAATTTGATTATTTTAATAAAATAAACTCTAATTTTTTTATTTTATCAATTTAAACTCTATAATTTTAATTTATTTTCGATTTAAATCATTTATTTATTTTCATAAAGTACAAATCGATGGAAAAATAAGTATTTTAGACATTAAACTCAGTAAAAAAAATGATATTTTAGATATTTTATATATAGTTACATTGAGTTTAATGACTAAAATATTTTTTTTGTTAATTTTACTTAACGAAAATTAGGACGAAAAATGAACTGAATTGTTCATAAACAAGCTCGGCTCGGCTCGTTTAGTAAACGAGCCAAGCTCGAGCTTGACTATTAGGCATTAAAATTAACGAGCCGAGCCGAGCTCGAGCCTAGTTCCTTATCCAGCCGAGCTCGAGCTCAATAAACGAGCTCGATAAGTAAACGAATCGAGCTCAATCTCAACAAAGCTTGACTCGGCTCGGTTCGTTTGCAACTCTAACGAAAATAGACAAATTATTTATATTGAAAACAAATCAAAATATTAAAATTTAAAATTACAAAATTAAAACTCATTATTTGTTTTGTTATAAGGCTCAAATCCTAAGATTACTGTTATTATTATTATTATTTAATTGTCTCATTTTTTTTTTAATATTTATAATCCATTGCCAATTTATCCTTCCCCAAAATTATGAGTTAGTTGAATATTTTAACAGTTTGAACAGGTGAGGTGGGTTGAAAATACAAAATGGTTAGTATATATATATTATTAATGAATAAAATAATCTTATTTTTTAACAGTTTTAAACAAAAAAATTTATTTATTTCAAACCTCAACGCAAAACACACAAAT